GTGGCGGGGTCAGATCAGGCACAATTCCCACACTGTGTCACTGGTGTTGTCCCCCGCAGGGCCATGGGCCAGTGAGGGGCATCACGTCAGAGCAGACTTAACTGGCTCAGCAGATGCCTCAGAAGGCACTGTTTGACTGGACCTTTGTGCTAAAGGCACCCAAACAAGACAAAGCCAAGTGTAACACAGTCACTCCACCTCCATGTCCACATGAAACCCCTGGAAAGGGTAGCCACCCACTGGTCACAGAGTCCTGAGTGCACCTGGGCATGTATAAACAGCCTCCTAGCAGTGGTACTTTGTGCCCTGGGTGACAACGCAGTGGAGTGCTTGGTGACTAACCAAAGAGGCACCTGAGGAGAAGGCTTGGCACTTAGTCCCTGAAAGGCTCCCACTCAGAAAAACCTGTGCAGCGGCCAGTCACACGTGGGGCCATCCTGAGTCAGGAGCAAGCCAATGGCAAGCAGGCTAGATTTAGGAAAGCCACTTACCAGGCTATTACAAAATAGCCTATTTGTTCTACTGCCTGGTCTTCTTTCAAGCATCACTGAATAATATATTTTTCTCCTCTTGCTGCAAATGTAAATTTTTAAAACCTTATTTCCAGTAATGCACAGTAGCTTAGTTAGCAGAAGTAAATCTGGAAGGGTCATGTGAAAGAAACCAAGCTCAGAATGTTTCAGACTGAAAACAAAGGGGGGAGGCTTCTTTGTAACAGGCTTGGGCTACAGGAGGCCACAGTAGCTTCTAGCGTGGTGCTGTTCAAAGCTGTCCTCAGAAGGTCAGAAATGCTGAAACCCTCAGTGTGGCCTTCCTCCCCACCCCAACCGCTTCATGTCTGCTGTGTTAGTCTGGGTAGACTAGAGAAACAAATTCATTAAAACGCTTATGTGTATAGGAAAGAGTTTTATATACAACAGCAGTTGGATATTGAGAAAACATCCCAGCCAAGTCTCAGTCAAGTCCATAAATTCAATATTAGCCCATATGTCCAACACCAATCAATAAAGTCCTCTTCAGACTCACGAAATACATACAATGACACCAAATGCAGGAAGATCACAGGCC